CAATACTCATTTTATTTAACATGGAACCACATCTTAACACAACCATACAACCACTCCCCAGATCTTAACATCGAACTAGATCTTAACACAATCACATCAGAGCTTCCCCCCTTCCCCTTCCCATCCCCATCTCCAGATCCCTTTGCCTCCCCAGATCCGGCCTTTGCCTCCCCAGATCCAGATACCTTTTGTCCAACCAGATCTTTGATACCTTTGAGCTCTGATAGAATCTCAGCAAACTTCCTTTCTGCTTCCTCCTTAGCATCGAGTAGAAGCTCCAGCTGACTTGCTTTCTTCTCAGAGTCCATCTGTTGGGCCTTCTCCTTTTTTTCCTGGACGCAAAAAAAGTGTCCCGCAGTGAAAGCGGTTGCGCAAAACATATTCTCGGCAAATCGGATAGTGAAACCCCACGCTCCTTCTTTGAGTCCCTTCACATTCTCTGCCATGACCTCCTTCATGATGTTTTCTTTTAACCTCTCTTTCAGTTCTCTTTAGCCTCCTCAGCCAGATCCTTGAGGGGCCCTTCCTTCATGGCCTTCTCGATCTCCTTGGAGATCATACTCTTAACAATCCGCTGGACGAAATCTTTCATAGTGAGTGAAAAGTTAGATGTGAAACGTGATGGGATGGGAGAGGAATAAAATGTTATGTTGGTGCTAGGTTAGTTATATATCTCTGCTAGGTTAGTTTTATCATGTTGCAATGTTAGTTGTATGGTGTTGCTATATTAGCTTTATGTTGGTGCTAGGTTAGTTATATATCTCTGCTAGGTTAGTTGTATGTTGGTGTTAGGTTAGTAGTGTCTTGTTGCTAGGTTAGTTATATATTTCTGCTAGGGTAGTTGTCTGATGGTGCTAGTTTATGTCTTTGTTCTTGCTAGGTTAGTTATATTATGTTGCTAGGATTTTTTTTTTAATGGAACGCCTCGGGGGCGGGGGATTGGGCTGGATCCCCAACCTGTATATAGATCAAGACCCCAAGAGAGGCCCAAATATCAACCAAATACAATCAACATAGTCTCACAATCAAAAGAGAAAACAAAAGCAGAAAAGGAAAAGGAAAGGAAATACTACAAGGTCTGTCATCGGGCTAATAGGTGCCCAGAATAAGTGTATGGTCAAACGAGGGAAATGAAATCTACTAAAACCGAAAAGATGGTTATCCAAGCTGGTCCATCCGTACCAGCGTGTGAAACCGAAGTGGGGCAGTGGTGTCGGTCTGATACGTGTGAAGGTCCGGTGTGGTGGCGCCAAGGCTGGCTAGGTAATCAGCAGGTCTGTTCCCCTCACGGAAGATGTGCG